TGTGGTTGTGGGGCTGGCACTTGAAGATAAGGGTCTCTTAGGGTCAGCCCCATGGGGCAGAGCTGGTGCTGGGAGCTCCCTGCTGGTGGGGCTGGGAAACTTGTTCTCCACTCAGCTCCACAGCATGGAGCTGGGTGGAGGAACAAGCTTGGGAACTTCAAGGAGCTGAGCAGGGAACAAGATCCCCAGTCCCTGCCAGCAGGGAACTCCCTGCACCAGCTCCACACTGAAGGCCAGAACTAGGAGACCCTTGTCTCCTAATGCTGGCCCCACAACTGAGAAGCTGGTGCTGGGAGATAAGGATCTCCTAGTCTCTGTCTTCCTGATCGCAATGGCAGAGGAGGGGGCTTGGAGCTTCCTGCTGTCCAGGCAGGGAGGAATAGTTCCCACCCCAGCTTCTGAGCGGCAGGGAGAAATCTCCCATCCCATGGTAAGTGGCTGACCACACTCATGAAGCTGAGCAGAGAACAGGCTCCTCAGCCTGTTCCCAGCCTAGCTCTGCACTTGTGGAGCTGAGTGGGGAAACAAGCTCCCCATCCTGTTCCACACCCTGCTCTGCACTCACAGAGCTGAGTAGGGAAGAAGCTCCCCAGCTTGTTCCCCACCCAGGTCTGAACTTGCCGATCTGAGCAGAGAACAGGCTCCACAGCCTCTGTGCCACGTGTGGGTTGAGGTATAGGAACTGTCCTGGTCAGGGGTAGCTCCCAGCCCTGTGCCCCAGTAGGGTGATCAAGGCACAGGGCTTGGAAAGAGCTGCAGGGGTGGGGTAGGTCCCAGGCCCCTGCTCCAATCTGCTGGTGGGGAAGCTAGCAGTGAGCTAGCTGTTAGCTGCCCCACCAGTCCATCGGAGCAGGAAGGTGGGACCTGCCCCTCCCCTGCAGCTCGTTCCTGCAGCAAGTCTCCTGTCCCTGATCAAGGAGCCAGGGCCAGGAGCTCCCTACTGCAGGGGCAGGGACCAGGGTAATGTTCCAGCCCTGGCTAGGAGATAGCGGTCTCCTGGCCTGGTGCTCCCTTCCTAGCCCTCCCCCTGGTGGTGGTAGGGGCCCATTGCATGGCCCTAGGAAACAGGAGCAGTTCCCTACATGTGTAAACGCCTGCCCACAAACATTTTCTTGTGAGTAGTTTACGCATGAGTAAACTGATCCTGCATCAAAGGCATGTGTAGATGCACCCACTGATTGCATAGAATTACTGATGATTACCACCTTAACATGTGTTCTTTACCCCAGCTTCCACTGGGGTACTTAAATAACGTCAGATCACACTATCCAGAAGTTGTTCTGTAACCTTATTAGGACTGAATGTAGGAACATGCTTTGGACAGGGACAGGGACTGTACCTTAGGTAAAAGTTGTCATCTTGTTAGCAAACAATAGTTCCTGTCTCAGCTCAAGTGCTCAGACTAGTAAATCATGATGTGGATCTCAGGAGCTGTAGCTCTCAGTTGCATCTTTTTCACCAATGGGTTCATCTTTTTTATAATGGGTTCTGTTTCTTGGGGTGAAGGTAACACTTTTACAGGGGGGTTTCTATTACATTTTTTCATTCTTTCCAGAGAATGGTTTTCAGTCAATTATTTTAGCATACCATTTCCAAATTGTCTCTCCTTCAGCAACCTCAGTGGGTGCAGCTCCATGAGATGCTACTGCGCAGTGGTTATTGCACAGTACTTGTATAAACAAGTATTAAATAAATGCACAGTAACTGGAGTTAATGTGCAGTAGTGCTGGCAAACGCCTTTTAAGTGATGCTACAGTGCAGTAGCCTAATATTATTGCACAGTAGCATGTTGGCACAGTTTTTGCCATGCAACACTACTGTGCAGTAGTGTCACGTTATTGCACAGTCAGCATCTCATGCAGAGGTGCCCAGTATGTCCGTATTTTACTGTAGTATTGAGATGTAAAATCTTACCTGTAAATTCCAGCAATGTACAGCATCCCAGATTTTCTATTTTTTTATTCTTCATTATTTAAGTAGCTTCTTAGTTTATACATTTGCTTTTTTGCAGCAATTTTTCTATGATTTGTCCCAGAAACTGCCAGACTGATAGGCTGGTATAAAGTCTTCCTATCTCTGTTTGCCAGCCTTCTAACTCCCTCCCAACAAACATGTTTGCAAAGCATTAAATTTTCCTTAGTGGTTTTTCTTAGAAAAGTATATAACAGCTTCTAGGTAGGTTCATCTCTCAGAGAGACCAGAACACAACAATTCAGCCCTGACTAGAATTGCCAATTGTTGCATTGTTAGACCAAGGACAATTTTAAAAGTCAAATATTAAAAAGTGCTAAGTGTTTAAAAATCAGAAAACCTTGTACAAGCCCCATGTTGAGTCCTTTTCACTCTACCAAACTGTATAGATGCAACACATCCTGCTCCATAGAACTGTCCTTTTTGACCTCATCAACAGAGCCCCAAACCTTGAATAAATAGGGTACAAGAAATGATGGCATTTACATGAAAGTAGTACAGAATGTTTAAAATTAAGAACATTCTTATTTTGGCTTATTGTGCTTTATTATGTGACGGAATCTGGGGGTAAAGGGGTGGGGGGGTTCAGTTTATCCCAAAACTTGGCATGCTGATTGGTTTTAATTTGAATCTCATTGAAGTCAGTCTTTGTAAAAACAATTTAGCATTTATTTTAAATATTTTCAGTATCTTAGGTGATTATGTACTATTCTGGGTGGTCTGAAAATTGAATTTTTCGAAGTCAGTTAGATTAAGATTAAATTCTACTGACAAGCTGAAATCACTGAGCACAATGACCTATTGTGAGTATCCAAAATTACTAAAAATGTTCAGTGAAAGGAAAACTCTTATTCCTTTGAGGACAAGGAAAAAAAGTACCTAATCTTACATTTGACCTACTCTTAGTTAACTAATAAAAAAAAATGCAAATAAACTCCAAATAAAAATGAAGTTAAATATAAGGATGTGTATCTATGAGGAGAGGAAATTAATGAAACGTGTTTTTAACGTATCTAACACTACGAGGGTCATGGACACAGGAAAAACCACCATGAGCTAACCTCCCCCTCCACAGGGTTTAAACAAGTCCTCAAAAAGTTAAGAAAGCACACTCAGTGTTACAGTTTCTGGTTTATTTTTTCTCAGTGTAGCTGAACTTTGAGAATCCCCATGAGATGATATTGGTTCTGCTGCACTTGTTGTTTCTTTTATAATCAGGAAAAGAAGCATCATAAAATCCCATACTTTTGGCCTAAGACTGGTCAGAAGTTTGCTGCTCTAATTAAAAAGTGAGTTTCCCCAATGTTTTCCTGAATAAAGCTCTTTTATAACAAAAACGCTTTTGATGGGGAAACCACACTGTTTGTACACTAAAAAGTAATTTTAAGGCTTATCTTGAGTCAGTGCCATAATAAACAGAAGTTGGAGCTTCTTGCCTTTCCTCTCTCTTTACTAAGGAATCAAAACAGATGTATTTCAACAACAAGCTTTTAGAAATATTTTACTGTAAATTTAGCTAGTTTGAAGTGACAAAATCTCTTCTAATGACATTTTTAGAAGTATTACACACATACTTATGGTATGATGCAGTGGTTTGGACACCATAGGTAAAGATGCAACACACTTTCCTTTATTAGCCCATTTTTTGCATCTCTTTCTGTTTAACTTTCACAGGAAAAGCTCCTTCTGGCCTCAAATTTCTCATGCTTAGTCTTAAAATATGAAGAAATCACTCTCTTTTTTTTAACCTGGAGTTTAATTAGATAAGTTATTTTTGAATTCAGGAACTCTGTTTTGAAGTCACGCAGACAACTAATCCTGGATATCGGTGCAGTACTGTTCCTATTGAAGTCAATGGAAAACACCCAGTTAGTGCTTTGTTGATACCATATGGTACTCTCTTTATTACAGTATCTGGACAGAGCCACTACATTGTAATAAAGATTTCGCTCCCTTGTACTACAGAAACATCAGCACAAGAATTTGTAAGCTTTGGTGGTACATTCTATATATGTACACCCATGAATACAATATACATCTATTTAAATAAACAAAGCTCTTTGATGTGCCTATCACTGTAAGTATTATGTATATTAAATTGTATCTATTGGAATGTAAATATATACATGTTACATTGAACAATGGTTAGAAGCAGCTTTGAATTATACCAGGAGATATTAGGACTTCTTTTCGCTACATCTCATTAGGTAGAGTGAAAGGAAATACTAATTTATCTTCTCACTGCTCTCCACACTAGACTTTCCTGGTCCTTACGTCCTGGGAGATAAGTAACAAAATACTGGGACTGTAGGTGATGTCTGGATAGTTTTCCAGCAAGGTAGAGGCTATCATTCCAGCCTTTTTCTCTATTTTGTGCTCTTTTGAAGTCCCTGGCAAAATATTGCCCTTTAAGACAATTCCATGGACACTCATGTGAGTCCAGTGGGACCACAGTTATGCACAAGAGATCAGTAGGCATTTGCAAGACAGGATTGTAAGTACAGTTAATAAAAATAGTACAGTTTAATAAATAGAACGCATGTTCCTAAATCACTGAGGACCAGATTTTTAAAGGCCTTTAGTGATGTGGAAAGGCACCTAGAAGGATTTTCACAAGTTCCTTGGCACCAACAACTATTGAAAGCCCTAAAGCCCTCAGCACCTTTCAGAAATGTACCCCAGGTTAAAAAAACTAAAAGTAAAAAATAGGGTCAATACAAAAGAGAATATTATCTTGTAATACATTGTGAAAAAAATGATATGGAGAGGAAAATATTGTGAACATATGGGTAACCCCAGATGTGGAAGTAGCCAGCAAGCCAAAGCATTTATTTCTTCTCACCTTGCTAGAGAAGATTTCTATGTTCCTCCTAAAGCTGTAATATAATTCCCAAAAACAAAAATGCAGTAGGTAAAAGCACAAGTGAAGCTGCTTTGACAGACTCATGAGTATACAGATATAAGGGAAGAGATTGCAGTAGCAAGTATTTTAATATCCACACATCTTTATATACTATTGTATTTCACAGGCTATATTGAACATTAAACTTCTGATGTCTTATTATCACGACAAGACAGGAATTGAAAATAGTACAGAACTGCAGGTAATCCATTTTCATGACAAGTTTGCAGTGTGAATGAGGAATAGCAAACATAAGCCGTTCTCATTACTGTCTCAAGACTGTAATCTCATTGTCCTCCATATATGTCATACCTGGGGCAATCAGCTCACTTATTTTTGGGGGGAAAGGATCGTATTTCATATTTCTAGGTGTTCTTGAGCAGACCAGTTATCTGTTCCAGCCGCTTCCAAAAATTATTGTAAATTATTCTTACTCAAACAGTTCAAGAAATGCTTGTCAACAGTGAATAGCAGTTATGAATATTTATGAAACATCTAAATACTTCAGAAAAATTAAAGCTCTCTGTAAATTTAGATTATTTAGATTACATTTGATGTGCATGCAAATAAGCATATCGTAGGGCTGTTATAGAGCATGTTTTTTTAATGAATTGCAGAATATACATACAATTAGAGCTCTTGGGTACTTCAAGACCTAAATCTAATTTGCTGATGGGGCAATATGAGGTCAAGTAAAGTCTTTAAAGCAAAGAATTCAAGTAACCTAAGATCAGAGACTTACACATTTTTATGTAGTCTTATACATTACATATCCATGGATGTACTGAGTCTGATGAAAAAGAACATCACCCTTTTTAAAAATGACATAGGTGACTCAACTAATGGTGAATCTACTGAGAAAATCATTATAAGTTGATATATACCATATTTCACAGTGTATAAGTCAAGGTTTGAACCCCCCTAAATTACCCTTAAATTTCCACTTTGACTTATACACGGTTTCTGGACTTCGGGAAAGTTGAATCAGACCTCTGGGAGCTTGGGCAGCACCTGCCCAGCTAGTAGCCCACCTGGCTGGGCTTGGGGGGTGCAGCTACTGTGGAGGGAAAGACTGTCTCACTCCCTGCCCCCCCCAGCTCAGGGGCTGCCCGGCCCACAAGCAGCTCGCCCCCGGCCATGGGATCAGGGCAGACAGGTTCTGGCAAAAGCAGGATCAGGCCCCTCCCTGCTTCTGCCATCAGCAGGATCCTATAGCTAGCAGGATACCTAGCACTGCCCAGGAAGCAGCTGCCTCACCCCATTAGCAGTGTGACGGGAGGCTAGGGGTGTTGGGCAGGACTGGCCTCCTCCCTCCACTCCTGCCTGATACCCCGTGCTGCCCATGGGGTGAAGTTGACTACTTCCATGGCTGGGGGTTGAGCTGCCAGTGCTGGGGGCAGTCCTTCCCTCCATGGTGGCGGCATTCCCTGGGCCTGGCCAGCGGGGCTGCCAGCAGGCTGGGTGCTGCTCAAGCTCCCAGGGGCCCGATCCAACTTCCCTGGACCCTGCGAGCACAACAAGAACCCGATCCTTTCTGTCGCTTTGATGAAGATCAAAATAAAGATCGACTTATACATTGGATATATGAAAAACCAAACTTTTTTGATAATAAAACTGGGGTTGGCTTATACACTGTGCTGATTTATAAACCATAAAATATGGTAAATTGTGAACACATACCCTGTTACATTTTGGGAATTTGCAGCATGTCTTGAATGCCTTCTTGTGTTTTCCAGTATTGCTTTGGTATGCATTGGACAGCCAATATTATTCTGTATCCATTTATGCCACTATAGATCTTTATGGTTTTGTTTATGGTTTTGTCATGGAAAAAAGTTTGAGCAGAGCTGCTGAATCTCTCCTGTTGTTGTGATCTGGGGCAAAAAGAATTGCTACTCCCAGACATGGGCAGAAGGAGTTAGGCTCCAAGATATTCTCTCCCTGTAGTGGAGAAATCAACTCCTCTATAGCAAAGACATCTGATAGAGTGGCAAAGCCAACCAAAGGAATGCTGGCTACCTCAAGCAGACCAGAACTTTCTAGAGCAGTGGTTTCCAAACTTTTTAAATTTGCGGACCCCTAAAAAATTTCGAATGGAGGTGTCAACCACTTTGGAAATTTTGAATGGTTTTTAGACTCCTTTGAATTGTAAATGTGGATAATTACAACCTTTTGATTGATCATAGTTGTGTTTTGAGGACCCCTTAGACATAGTCGGCAGACCCCCATGGTCCATGGACTACAGGTTAAAAACCACTGTTCAAGAGAGTGCTGGTGGGGGCACGGGGAGGAGGAGCTGGTTGGAAGGTGTTGGGCAGTTACCTGTGGGCTAGGAAGGGTCAGAAAACCCCAGCAGTCAGGGCTGGCAGAATTCCGCAGGAAGGCTGATTTCTGGGGATGCTGCCAAGACTCTCAGGAAGGCTAAGGTATAGCTGGATGACAGGGTTAGGAACCCGACTTGTTTTCCTGTCTCCAAATATATAGTCCATTTTGTTTGTGTAGACCTTTTATCCTATATAATAAATTATCAAGAAAAAATTCTTTATGGTAAGGGTTGCCAAAATATGGAATGAGCTTCCAAGGGAAGTGGTGCTTTCCCTGACCTTGGAGGCATTTCAAAGGAGATTAGACAAGCACCTGGCTGGGGTTACTTGACCCCAGCGCTCTTTCCTGCCCAGAGCACGGAATCAGACTTGATGATCTAATAGGTCTCTTCCAACCTATGTGACCTTGGTTGGAGTACTGCAGCCAGTTCTGGGAGCTGCACTTCAGGAGGGATGTGGCCAACATGGAGAGGGTCCAGAGGAGGGCCACTCGTATGGTCAGGAGGCAGCAGGGCAGGCCCTATAAGAGGAGGCTACAGGACCTGAACCTGTTCAGCCTCCACAAGAGAAGGCTGAGAGGGGATCTGGTGGCCATCTATAAACTTACCAAGGGGGACCAGCAGGCAATGGGAGACTCCCTGTTCCCCTGAGCACTACCAGGAGTAACTAGGAACAATGACCATAAGTTGACTGAGAGTAGATTCAGGCTGGACATTAGGAAGCACTACTTCACAGTCAGGGCGGCTAGGATCTGGAACCAACTTCCAAGCGAAATGGTCCTTGCTCCTACCCTGGGGGTATTCAAAAGGAGGATGGATAATCACCTAGCCGGGGTCGTTTGACCCCAGCATTCTTTCCTGCCCATGGCAGGGGGTCGGACTTGATGATCTGCTCAGGTCCCTTCTGACCCTACCAACTATGAAACGATGACCCTGGAAATCTATGAAAACCTTACTGATTGTCTGCAGAAGAAGTGATTTTTAGTTGATTGATATTCCATGCTAGCCCTCTCCATGGAGAAAGGGACCAAAAAATGTCTCTCCTAACCCAATGGTGTAGGCCACCTGTGGCTGGCAGAGATTTCTTCACTGAAGCTGCAGGGTCTAGTATAAGGGCAGGAGGGTTTCTGGGGTAGGGAGCCATCCCAGGGCAACTTCAGTCTGTTTCTTGGGGCAAGTAGCAACATAACAGGGAGAAATTCAGAGCTCTGGGGTCCTCCATAGTCAGGTTTGTCACATATTTATACAAATCATTCTTGGGACTATCTTTGTTCTTGTGATAACCTGACAGTAAAATCATTTCAGGATTTCAGAAACATAAAGAAGAAAACTCTAAATTACTGGCCCCTGTTTGCGATTACTCTTTTGCTCGATAATTATGAAGTAAACATCCTTAAAAATCCCTTATTTTCTTCTATTTGTGTTTGCTTTTTACTCAGGTTTGTACATTGTCTCCATCTGTAATGATAAACTATTGAGTGCATAAATTCCTCCAGATGATTGTACTGCACAGTGGCAACTTTCTGGCAGGTTTGCTTTTTCTTTTTGATTATGGGATCTTTCACTTCAGAAAACAAAACACTGAAATGTAATTTTCCTTGATTTCCTGTGTGTTTTACCTAACAAGTCTCTAGGTAAAGTCTGGAAAATTCTCTTTAGGAAAACATTAAGGAATCTAGGTCAAAAGCCCTTAAAAAGCGTATGGAATTTTCCATAAACAATACCACAGAGGTTTGCAGTTCAATTTACCAGCTGAAAAGTGAGCTCTGAGGTCATATATAGATTGCAATTACACCAAAATACTGTACACTAACATAATAATTTTACAACCAATAATTATGCTGAAAAATGCTTAGTTGGCTAAAGTCTAAAAGATGTTATTGATAAAAGTTCATGATTTCACATTAGGATTGGTTTCAGATAGTGAAAGTCAACAAAATACTCTTGTCCCCCTATTTTACAGGTAGCCATTTACAACAGAGAATATCTTAATACCTCCAACAAAGATTATCTCGATAATTCATGGAAACAATTGGGTTTATCATTTATTCATTGATCTGGACTATACCATGAAAATATCTGTCATCCAAGATTCATTCACAGCTCTTTTGAATAGAAGCTGTTACATGTTTAGAATTTCAATCTCATGCTTTTCTTTTTAATAATTTATTGTTTCTTTTAGGGGCTCCAGCCAACATCAGGTTCCCATTACACTAGATGCTGTGCAATCACATAATGAGAGAGAATCCCAGCTTCTAAGAGCCTATAATTTCAGCAGACAGAGGAGGGAAATAGTACTATCCTAATTTTACAGATGTGGAACTGAGGCACAGAGAAAGCAGATGACTCCCCCAAGACCACAAAAGAAGTCTGTGGCAGAGCAAAGTACTTTACCCAGAGCTGTAGAGTCCCAGTCAAGAGTCCTAACCACAGTTTCTCCTATCTTTATTCCCTTTTTGGAACCTGTACATGCACTCAGAGCTTTGTGATTTAAAAGGCTATTTTAAGTTAATAATTTAAATTATTATCTCATTTAATATGCTTCAAGATACTGATAAAAAGAGTTGACATTCTCTCATAAATGTATAAACAGATTTATTAAAAGGTATGTATTTCTGTAGTTTGTCTATTTTTTTTTTTTAAAGAAAAGTTTTGTAGAGAACCTCCACATAATTACAGTTCTCTTAGTAAAGACATTACACTTAAAACGCGATTAGCCTGTTAATTGTGCCATAAATAGTAACCTTGCCACACATTCAGGGAATTAATGGCATGGCAAAATGGGAAGCCAGCCACAAGTGTATTTCACCAAATATATGTAATGTGTTTGTGGCTGGTTTCCACTAAGCCTTAAATAGAATGTGTGGTGGGATAGCCTCATGATGCAGCCTGATGTCAGCTGTATGGTGTGGGTCAGTTGATAGCTCTCCCATGTCAGCAGGCTAACTGTTGTGCATGTGCTTGGGACTGTCCCTGGCTGTTTTCAAGGTGCCAATTCAAACGGAGTTTACTGCACAGCAGCGTGGTTCTTACTTAGCCCCACAGTACCCACAAGGGCTGAGGAGCAAGGCAAGTTCTTGTGCTGGGTCATAGTGAGTCCCCCAAAACCTGGCAGTTGACTGCCTTGCCCATAGCTCCCTGGGAGCAAGGTGTTATGTTTGTTCAAGGCATTCGCAAATAAATTACTCCAGCCAAAATGTGGGGAAGAGTGCTTCCAGACTGGCAGCTACAGAATATATTGTAAATGCAAAGCAAAACTATACATGCATTGTAGAGAAATGGTTAGTTGGGTATGAAGCTGGGTGTGGACTAGGACCTAGAGAGTCCTAATGAACGGATCTGTGTCATCTTGGTGAGAAGTGGGCAGTGGTGTCCACAGGGGTTGGTGCTCAGTCCTGTACTTTTCAATATCTTCATCAATCGATGAGAGGGTGAAGAGCTTGCTGGCCAAGTTCGCAGATGACACCAAGTTATGGAGAAATGTGGTCACGCTTGAAGATAGGCTACAGATACAGGCAAATCTAGACAGGCTAGCAAGTTGGGCGAGGCAGAACTAGATGAAGTTCAATGTTGAGAAATGTAAAGTGCTCCAGCTGGGGACAAACAATCCCCTGCATACCTACAGGCTTGGAAATGCCAACCTGACCAGCACTGTGAATGAAAGGAACCTGGAGGTAATAACAGACCACAGTATGAATATGAGCTGGAAGTGCAATTCTGCTGCTAGCGGGACAAATAATACCCTGGCATGCATCAATCAGTGCATCGCCAGCAAGACCAAGAAGGTGATTCTTCCACTGTACTCAACAATGGTGAGACCTCAACTGGAGTACTGAGTCCAGTTCTGGGCCCTGCACTTTAATAAGGATGTGGTACAACTTGAGAGAGTCTAGAGAAGGGCCACCTGAATTATTAGAGGCTTGCACAGCAAGCCATATGAGGAAAGACTGAGGGACCTGGGACTCTTCAGCCTGAAAAAGAGAAGGCTGAGAGGGGACTTGGTATCAGTTTACCGCTATGCTGGGAGCCATGTCCCCCAAGAGCATTACAGACATGCAGGCAGACGGACTAAGCCCTTTATATATATAGCATATATGTGGATCAGAATCCCCCTGAAAAAATTCCCATGATGAAGAACTTTCTCCTTCTCTTCCCTATTAACCTTGAATGATGTTGTAAATTGATCAGTCAGTTCATTAGTTTTGCAGGCAAAGCCAATTACTACTCAGCTCTACAATCCTCTACAAGCCTTTGGTTCTAAGGCTGTGTGGTGAAGGACTAGTCTGCACTACTGTAATTCTTCTGGTAAAACTTGGCATAGGATTACACTCAAAATCCCTCTATAGCTGCAGAACCCCCAGTTCTTCTGGCAGTTACTCCACCCAGGGCCGGATTAACCCTTCAGTGGGACCTAGGCAAACAAGGGCATGGGCCCTGGGCTAGTTGAGACCCCATCCCCACTCGGAGCTGCCACCCATGGAAAGTAGGGCTTGGAGCCACACCTAGGAAGCAGGCAGTGAGGCTGGAAGAAGGAAGGGGAAGGAAAGGGAAGGGAGGTGGACATGGCCATTTTCACTGCTGCCACAGAGGGAAGGACCGGAGCCCCCCACAGCCCAGGGCCCTAGGCATGTGCCTAGTTTGCCTATGCATTAATTTGGCCTTGACTCCGCTGAATAGAGTAATACTTCTGCTGCTGCCCACCAGCTAGTAAACAGTGCAAACAAGCACATAGACTGTTTGTAGACAAAACGAGAAGTGTGTGTGCATGACACTTTAAAGCGGACCAAATGCTTTTGCACCGCTTTAATGGTGTTGTTTGCATGCCTTGGCAGTGTATTGTGCATTAATTCCAGCTGCTGTAGGAAATTTGGCAGTGTAATGGGCCTTAAATGACTTGGGGTGCAGTTTTACTCCCTACAGCCGTGGAGTGAAGCACCAGGCTTTGTGCAGCTCCACAGCTCTGTAGGCAGCCTGGCAGCAGCCTGGGAAAGCAGCTCCACCCAAGAAAAGTGGAACACCTGATCCCCTGACCCCAGAGCCTCCCTGCCTGCATGAGCTGTGTGGGGGCCCGGTGCTTCCCTCCAAAGCTGCGGTGCCCCTCGGGACAACCCAAGCCAGGTGCCCACAGGCGGGTGCCACCTGCAGGGGGCGGGGTGCCACTGCCATGAAGGGAAGCACCATCCCCCCCAGCAGCCCAGGGACCACTGGCAGCTCGCCCTCCCCTCCCCACCAGAGAGGCGGGTAAGGTGTGTACCTGACAAGGGGGTTTAATCAGCCCTAAATTGAAGCAGTGTTTTTTAAAACCCACCGCTTCAATTTTGGGCCCCTGTGTTGTTTTCACATGCGCAGAGCTACCACAGTCTGTTCAGTGTAGGTGCCCTCTCAAATTGCTTTTTGTACTCTCATGGCAAAGCTCCTGAGCGCAACCTCATGGAGCCATCAGCAATTTATGGGTGTGCACATATTCTAATGGCATGATGATGGCAACTGCAGTCTCCTAGCAGAAGTTTTGGTGTCAAAGGCAGGTGGCTGTAGATATACCCTGGTCCCAAACTCCTTGAAAAATTAATAGAAGACCATCTATTGTTTTCAGTGAACTTTAGTATCAGGCCTGTTGTTCTCCTGCTTGCTGTTTCATTTAATACCCCCACAGCTTTTTGAATAAGAAGGAGCTCCTTACTTTAATGTGTAGAAATATATTTTTACATCAGGTTTAAAAAATAAAATATGTAAAGGTGAAACATTAGTTAACAGTATAAAAAGTTCTTTCACGATCAAGAAGGAATAGTGTATAGATGGAAGGCCTAGCCTGAAAACACTATAAGTGCCTGCCTAATGAGTTCCTTAAAAATAATTCTGACAGATTCAATTTCATTAAAACCAGCATTGTGAAACTAGCTGCATTGCTGAGATAATCATAGAGGTTGAGAGCTGCAGGCTTCCTAGTAAATGAGTTTATTATTATTACCATTATTACTTGTAGGAATTATATAAAATATTTAGAATGGGAATGCTGATGTGCCAGTGCATTGACCTGGGAACTCTTTTGCAAGCAAGCAGCCCACAAATCTCTACCACCACACTCCTCATTTCTTTATTCCAAAAGCATTTACATTAACTGCATTGTATTTACAGGACTTGTGTACAACTAGGTATTCTAAAAATCAGCATGCTCATGCTTATGTACTGTCTTGCTGAACTGATGTGTGCTGTGGGTGTTGCCTACAAGTTCTACTGAGGCTGCAGCAGCTAAAGGAAACACAGAGAAAATTCCCAGGAAGACAAGAAGGGCCCTATTCCATTCTTCCCCTTCTCTTGCTGCCATCAGCATAACCCCTTTTCACATGTGGTTTCAGAAGCACCAGAAAATTCTCTTAACATAACCTCCAGCACTTGGATTCTCTGGTTGATACCATGTGTGTTTTTATTTGGTTCCCAACCTGTCAGAATCCCATGAAAGTTCTTGTGATACACTGTCAAAGCAATCTAGAGGAGATCTTGCTCTCAAACAGAAAGCAGGGAGAATACCTAATAAATGTCCACATCAGCCTTTCATAGGTATTATATGCCTCTCATAATGGAATATGGTGAAAGGAATTATTTTCATGGGTGCATTTCAAAGATTCCTTCTAGTATAGCTATGGTTTGGGTTATATCTTACAAAAGTACCAAGAGGGAAAACAAATCTGGAATTCTCTTTTTTAAATCTTTTTAAAATAAAAGGGCTAGTGGGGGGTTGGAACTCCACTTTGAAAAATGACTATGTATTGTTAAGTATGGCACCATACTTGATTCTTTTAAGATTTACACATGTACTTCATTTCACTGCCATGAATTTTCCAAATGAATAGTACTATTGTTTATATACAACCAACAGGAGCAGAAAGAGTGCATTAAGATGGAAGAATTTGGTCCTTAGTATTATTAAAATGACATGATTAACATCTGATATATCTTTAACGCTGACTTCTCTAGCTTTTGCACCTTTGTTTCATTAAGTTATGGTCTAGTCCCATCTTAAATATGTAGCAGCAATCCATGCATTAACATTTTGAAACATTGAAAAAAAATTCTGAGATTTGCAGTCCTTTATGCCAGGTATCTGAAGCAAGGATGAAGTCAACAACTTTAATCAGAGGAGGAGTTATGTTGTTAAATACAATTTAAAATTGTATCCGGAAAACAATACTTATTCAAGAAAAGGTACACTAGCTCTCTTCCACGTGGCACATAACCAGAGACAAATTATTGTTTATTATTCTTATTACAAATTGTTTGATACCAACATTGTGCTTTTCATAGTGCAAGGTATACATGTGACAATTCGTCCCATGAGGCTTTTACAGTGTAAATATGTAGACAACATAAATCAGTCCCAAAATGCACTAAAGCGGCCACTGTATAGTGAAGTAAATCTTTATTGAAGTACGTTGGTTGTTTTTATTTAGGTTTGAAACCATTATTTCTAATTTGAATTAACACTGTTGGACTTCATGGAAAAATGGATTTTAAGAAGACATTTAAAATGAAAAGTTGATGATACATGGGGCTAGTTCCACTGGCAGATGGCTACACAGAAGATGGATTGGTGGGAAAGGG